GCACGGTCCCTGCCACTGATGTGTTTAAGTTGGTGTTTCGCAATGTGTTGCTAAAGATCCGTGCCAGAATCAAGCCCCTTGCATGTAGCGTCAGGGAAGCACTCTCGGAGCCTGAAGAGTTTGTGTGCGCCACCGAGCAGGATTGGCAAGATGCGCAGCTCGACCTCTCATTTGTTGATGACCTGACTGCGTCTCTCTTTGTGCGCGTTGCTCACGCCATCCCTCATGCAGCCTTGGCTTTGGCTGAATCGGTCTACATCGCGGTCCTTTATGTCGGGCTTCGCCCCAACGCCGCCAAGACTAAGATGTTGGTTGCTCTGCGTGGGACTGGGTCTAGGGGGGTGCCTGGGTTCTCGGACAAGTCCCCGGAGGCCGTGGTTTCTGCCAAGTGGGGTTTCTCGTTCCCGATTGTCCAGCAGCACAAGATCCTCGGGGCCTCGGTCTCTTCCTCTGGCCCCATGGCGCCAGCAGTTACTGCGCGCGTGGCCAAGTGTTTGGGGGCCCTGGGGCCCATCAAGGCCACGGCGGCGCCGAGGGAGGCCCTTTCCCTCGGGGCCAAGACCCTCTATTCCGAGGCGCTTGCCGCTTCCGTCTTGTTCTATGCGGCTGGGGTGTGGCCGAAGGTCACAAGTGCTCAAGCTCGGAAGATGTGCACCACGCACGTGGCGGTATACAGATGCGCTCTCAACCTTGCCAGCACCAACAACGCTTCTTCCCACGAGCGCAGCGCGAGTGTTCTCTCGAGAGTTGATCGCCTTCCCTTTGATGTTGTGATAACCATTGCCAGGCTCCGTTATCTCCGACGACTCATGTTGCATGCACCCCCTCTTGTTAGAGTTTTGGTGGATGTCACTTGGAAGTGCGAGGGGGCCTGGGCGCAGCCCCTTGTGGCCGACTACGCGCGGTTGAGGTTTCACACGGAAGCCCGTCACCGACCGGAGGATGACTCCCTCAAGGGCCTCTTTAGGTTTGTTTGGGCTCACGCCAAGGCCTACCAGTCCTTGGTCTCGGCTGCCATCATTAGAGCCAAGCGGGCCTCTCGGGGGTGCCTTTAGGCTCGCCACTTGGGAAGCCAACTTGGACCAGGCTGTTGTGGGCACCCAGTTGGAGGCCCCCCAGGCCCCTGCCATGGTCTACCAGTGCCCTGACTGCACCTTTCAAGCTTCGAGCCCCCAGCAGTGGCGCTTTCACCGAGGCAAAGCCCACGAGCCCCCTGGGGCCCCGACCAGACTTGCTGTTGGTTCCTTATGTCAGATTTGTCTGTGTGTTTTTTGCAACAATCCTCGTTTGGCGCAGCATTTGCGCAATTCCCCCACCTGCAGGGTCTCTTGGGAGAGGTCTGGTTTCTTACCCAGGGATGAGGAGCTAGGTCAGGCTCGTGCCGAGTACAAGCAGGTCACGGCGCTCAATCGCGCCAAGGCTCGACCCGACCATTACGCGGAGCGACCACCGCTACAGTGCTCAGGCCCGCCCATGGGCCCCAGGGCGCGGTGTTCGCGCCAGCGGGCGCGGGAGCTAGCGGAGACAGTGGACGGGATTCCGCCCCCTCCTCCCCCCTCGCCTGCCTCCTTTCGCCCGCGTTTGCTCCCCTTTCGTCCTGTCATGTATGTCCTCCACTTGTTCTCGGGGCACCGTCGTGAGGGGGACTTTCAATGGCACTTGGAGGCCATGGTCGACACCTTCCCCACTAACATTGCGGTCTCAAGCGTGGACGTCGCCAACCGCCGCGTTCATGGGGACTTGACAGTGGAGAGCACAGTTTGGCTCTGGAAATTGTTGCTTCGCTCGGGCCGCGTCGCGGCGATATTAGCTGGGCCTCCGTGCGGGACGTGGTCCGCTGCACGTCATCTTCCCATCCCTGCTAATGCCCCTGGGGGTGCTCGTCCTCCCCGCCCGTTGCGCTCGAGGGATGTGCCATGGGGTTTTGGACAACGACTGCGCGCGAGTCAGCGCAGCTAGCACTAGGCAATGACCTGCTCAGGACGACGTTGAGGTTTCTCTACGAAGCCTGGATCCATGGCATTCGGGCCCTCATGGAGCATCCTTCGACACATCCCAGGGCCCCAGAGGCTCCGAGCTCGTGGCATTTACCCCAAGTGCGGCGCTCATGTGCACTTCCTGGTGCCAAGTTGCTTCACATCAACCAGTGTATGTTCGGGTCCCCCAATTTAAAACCGACCACCTTTCTGGCTGTCCATCTAAACGCTATGAACACTATACTGGCAGCCAAGCCTGGGGGTGGGCTGTGTACCCATTCTCGGCCGCACCCGGGCCTCATGGGGGTTGGTGCTGACGGCTTGTGGCGCACCTCACATGCCAAGCAGTGCCCTTCTGGTCTCTGTCGTTTCCTGGCTGCCAGTATATTGCAGGAGACCAGAGTGAGGTTCCCGCAGTTGTGCCGCGACTCTCCTCCGCCTCGGCTCTCACCTGCTGACCTCGTCAGGCCACCACTCCAGTGGACCCGTCAAGACGAGATCAGTCTACGTGGGATGCTACAGATTGGGCCCACCACCGACGGATGGGACCCTCCTCTTGGGTTGAGGAGATTTGCGGCGCCACTGGGTCCTTATCTTACGACCACAGGGTTTGCCACGGACTGTATGTTGCATCAGTCGGGTTCACGACAAGTCGCGGATGCGATATAACCACGACGGTTGCTTGCTTCTCTCTCTCTCTCTCTCTCATACACACTATATTGGGGGAAAGTTGCAGAACTGCGAGTGTCGCGTGCCAGGCACGCTCGTGAATGGCTCTAGGGGGAAGGTGACGCCAGGGTCAGGACCCGACCCTTGCAGGATGCGCCATCCTTTAAAGGCAGTACCTCGAGAGTGACGCCAGGGGCCCACGAGGGTCTGGCTGCCCCCGCCTGGGGAGCATCGAGCGTGTTTGGAAGGGGGAACGCCTACTCTTTTCCCAATTATACACTATTCCCTTTTCCCGTCCCCTAAGTCTCGTCAGCTTTAAGTGACAGTACCCCGTGCCCGCCCACTGCCAGAGTGGGCCTGCGCCATCTGGCGCTCGAGGCTGTGGCATCCGCTCCGTGCTGCTGCTGCTGCCTCTGCCTTGTTCTTCACCCAGTGGTCCTCTCGCCCTCTTCTCGCCATCACGCGCTTCGACCCTTCTTGCGCTTCGACCGACCGACCGACCGAGGAGGAGGAAGAAGAGGTGGAGGAGGAGGAAGGAGGAGCAGGAGGCAGTAGGGGGAGGAGGAGGATGAGGAGGAGGAAGAGGAGGAGGGGGAGGAGGACAAGCTAGGTGCGCTCGCGTCATATCTGACGTCCTACCCCTCCCTCCCATCCCTTACCATGGCGCTGATTTTCTCTATCCGCGGACGCGTGTCGTAGCGGACCTGTGGCTCCGCGCGCGCGTGCGTAGTGGGTGGTGGTGCGCGTGCGTGCGTGCGTGCGTGTGTGCGTGGTTGTGTGGTGGTGGTGGTGGTGGTGGTGGTGGTGGTGGTGGTGGTGGTGGGTGGTGGTGGTGGTGGTGGTGGTGGTGGTGGTGGTGGTGGTGGTGGCGCGGTGGTGGCTGGCGGATGGGCGCGCGAGAAAAGGCCCGCGCTGGGGCGAGAACGCCATCCTGAACGACGGAGGCCAAACACCGATCCGAAAATGAGGCCCACGCTGCAGCGGGAGCACGATTCGGAACGATTCGGGAGCAGAAATGAGGCCGGCGCCTCAGCGAGAGCAGCATTTTGAGAGAAAAAAAAACGCCGGCGAAAACCCAACTCCCGGGAATCCAGTGTGTAAAAAAACAGTAGGGGGTCGGCTACTTTCAGGCCGCCATCGGGGGAAGAGGGAGAGTAGTATTCATATTGAGTAATTGAAGAAGTGGAGAAGAAGGAGGAGGAGGAGGCAGAGGTGACAAGTCGTTCAACGCCACGGCTCTCGGGAGCGCGGGGAGTTGGAAACAAACTGAACGCCAAGGCTACCGCTAAGAACGGTGACGTAACGAGTTTCGATCACCAAGGTTGCGATTGCGCACAGTGGTGTGAAACATCGCTTCCAGCGCCAAGGCTGTGATTACGCGAGCTATCGCGGGCAAGTCCTTGAAACGCCCTTTCCGTTCCCGTGCTGGTCCACGTGACGGAAAGAACCAGGTACGAGTGATGACGTTGTGCTTGGGCGAAGACCTCGAGGGGGGGTCCTGGGGAGGGGGGTGGGGCGGATGGATGAGTGTGAATAACCGCTCGGGGCGTGTTGGAAGCTTCTTGGGCGCTTCTTGGGCCGTTTTGGGCGCTCACGACGGTCCAAGAGGGTTCAAAACGGCCGAATATACTTGCAAGACGCCCAAGAACGCTCCGAGAGAGTCCAAGACCGCCCAAACTTGCCCAGGAGGGCTCCACGACTCCCCAAAAGGCGCCCACGGGGCGCCCCCAAACGCTAAAAAACACTGGTTTTCCCAAGGAAAACGTGCATTTTGAGCATACGCGAGTTTTCGGCCTCCACGGCGTCGATGACGGCCCAAGAGGCCCCAAAACCCGCTCCAGGACGGCCCATGATGCTCCCAAGAGGATCAAAACAGCCCGAGAGGGCCCCAAGACGACCCAAGAGGCGCCCAAGACGGCCCAAGAGGGCCCCAAAACGGCCCCAAGAGGGACCACGGCCCGAAACGTCCAGCCTTTCGCTCCAAGAAGCTCCCGGGAGGCCCTCAACAGGCCCCCAAGAGGCTCCCCAAGAGGCCTTCGGAGGCCAAAATCATTGGTTTCACCGCAAGTTCATTGCACACCGATGGAGTCATGCATGGCACAGCGTGTTGAACGGATTATCCAGCAGCTCGCAGGTCTCTGATCAGGAAATGATTGATTCATTGACTGATTGATTGGTTGGCTGGTTGATGAGTTCATGATCGATTCAGTCATTCACTCACTCATTCATTGATCCATTGATTCATTGATTGTTCGATTGATTGATTGATTGGTTGATGACCGTGCGGGGGTGTGGCGGCAAACAGAACATCGTCGTCACCATCATCATCATCATCATCATCAGCACGCTGTCCGTAGCTGTGTTGGCTTCGAGTGGTCCTTGGATTCTCGTTGCTAACCATTTCTGAACGCTTCCGGCCATGGCAAATGGTGCCAGCAACGCCAATGATCCCACCCCGCTTGCAGTACCTGGCTCCAGAGCTGCAGGCGGTGATGGGGTTGTGAACAATGAGGCCCTCCCTCTCGCAGTACCTGGTTCCAGAGCTGCGGGGGGCGAGGGGGCAGCACCAAAATGGCCACATGTGAAGTGCAACGGCTGCGATACGATCGCCAAATGGAAGAAAATACGAAGCATGAAGGTATGGGAGCACTACCAGGAGTTCATGACGGACCAGGACGACTCCTTCACGTGGGCCTACACGTGCGTGGAGTGCCTGGCGAAGGAGCTTGAGTGCACCGAGCAGGAGGCAAAAGCACGCATCCTGGGAGCCTCGGCGACACCTGCGTGGGCACGGGGGCGGAACGCGAAGTTCAAGGCAGCCTTCCAGAACCGCCGGGAGGAGTTCCCGGGCAGGAGCCGCGATGGCGCGCGTACCCTGGTTCGCAACGACTTGGTGGAGGTGCTCGAGCCGCTCGCAGAGTTCGCGGCCAGAAAGCTGATCCAGCTGAAAGCACGGCAGCAGGGCATCGAGGAGTACGACAAGCTGCTCGTGGAGCACCGCGCCGTGAAGGAGAAGGACAGGGAGCTGACCATCATCGAGGAGTTGGAAAATTGGGACCAGGTGCTCGAGAAGCCCAACGCGCCGCTGGCCTTCCAGGGCAAGGAGGGCGCCGAGCAGACGTTCAACGCCGCCCAGTGCTCCGACGAATGGGTGAACGCTGACTTTGGGGCGCTCGGGGCCTGGCACGTCTGCCTCCAGGGCTGGGGTGGCCAGTGCCCACCGTGCGGGGCGGTCATGCCGTCGAAGCAGTGGAGGCGCAAGTTCGAGGGCATCGGTTCGTCAAAGCAGGAAAGGCACTGCGTCTGCTGCCAGACACGCTTTCGCACGGGCCACGGCATGCTCGTCGAGGTGCGCACCGTGGGCGTTTCCACCTTCATGCTCGCAGAGGTGTCCAACCAAGACGTCGAAGACGTGCGTGCCATGTACCTGGATAAGAATCTGAACCCCAAGAACCACAATGACCTATGGCAGAAGATCCCGGACTTCACGCCGATCGACCCCCGGGACATCCTGCGCCCAGTTGAGATGCACGAGCTGGCAATCACCGAGGGGTTCGACATGGGCGCGGTCAGCAAGTTCGCGAACGCCCAGAGGTTGAAGGCAGTGCTGAAGTGGGACTGGGACCAGATCTTCAGCCTCCTCGAGTGAGATGCCGTTGAGAAGCCGCTGAACCCAAAGCCTCTCGCAGTACCTGGCCCCAGAGCTGTGGGAGGTGGCGGGGGGGGGGGGGGGCGGCGAGTGCTCTCGGCGCGCGGCCATCAGTCATGTTAGATGCATGTCATATTCTTTTGATGCAGTCACGATCCTCGCTACAGACACAGCGCGGCCAAAACCAAAGCCCTCGCAGTGCACGGTTCCGGAGCTGCGGGGGCGGCGGTTGAGGCCCCGCGGCGAGTGGCGCATCGGGGCGGAGACGAGACGGCGACGAGGCAAAAACACATTGATTTTCTTCAGGTGTTTGAAGGGCTTGGGCCATGGAGGGCTCGGAGGGCACTCGGAACCATCTCGGGGGCGTTTTCGTGAATTTCGGGCGCGTGTCGGAGGCCATCATGAGCCATCTACCGCTATCCTAGATTATCTCGGAGGCCATCTTGGGTTCTCTGAGGCTTTCTTGGAGCCGCCCTGGGCCATCTTGGGCTCTCCGCCTACCCAGCCCGCCCCCCCCCCCCCCCCCCCAGGTCGAGGGGGGGGCGAGCCGGAGAAGGAGGAGGGCAGTAAGAAGACGCGGCTTGCTAACCACCCGCGGCCGAAAGGCCGGCTGGGTACGCGGCGCGAGGTTCCGGGCCACTCTTCGCGCCAAGGCGCGTCGGCGCGTGAGACAGGAAAAGAAGTCCACGTTTGGATGGCGTCGGGTCTGTTCCATCCATGTCTGAGGTTCCTGATGCCTCTCGTCCGCCTGCCTCGTCTTTGCATTTGCGCGTCTCCTCGTCGATGCTCCGATTTGCATTTTTTTTGCCCGTCGTTCCTCGGGGCCCGGGTAGCGCGCCTCGCCGCCGCGGGCGGGCGCAGCTCGGCAAGAGGAGGCGGGGGGGGGGGGGGCAGGAGGAGGAGGGCGGGGGGGGGGGGGGGGCGGAAAAGGAGGATCAGGAGGAGGCGGGGGGGGGGGGGGGGGGAGGAGGAGGAGGAGGAAGAGGGGACGAGGAGGAGCAGGAGGAGAAGGAGGAGGAGGACGAAAAGGAGGAGGAGGAGCAGGAGGAGGAGCAGGATAAACGAGGGGGGGAGGGGGATGCCGACTGGCGCCGGGGATGCCGGCGGCTTTGGGTGACCACTTGGATCGGTCAAAGAAGCAGCTTCTGCGGGGCCGCGCAGCGACGATCCATGGATGGGCGTTGCGCGAGGATGAGGACGTTGGAGATGAAGAAGAGGCAGTATTGATGTATCTGCCGAGACTGATTGTGTTGGACTTCCATACGAAAGAGTGGAACCTGCCAGGATGGGAGCCGGGGCTATATCCGATCTTCCCATCGAAAGGGCGCCAATGGTTCTCGGACGGATATCGAAGCACCCAGTATTAAGTGTGAAACGCACGCAGTTCATGATCACCCCAGCTTTGGCAGCAACGGCGCACTCTGCGCAGGGCCGGGCCATGGCCGCAGTAATGGCGGACCTCGGAACAGGGCGCGGCGTGAGTTGGATGTCAAGTTACGCTGCCATCGCGCGCGTGCGGAAACGGGAGAATTTGTTCATTTTCAAGCCTTTCGGCAGGAAGCCGCACAACGCGGGGGAAATGCCAGGCGCGCAGAAATTGTTGCGGGTGCTTCGCGGGGAGGATGTGAATTGGGACGAGTGGGGAACGACGCTACTGCCACGAGGCCAGCGCGAGCGCTGCCGGCGGAGGTTGTTGGTAGAGGCGTTCACAAAGTGCGAATTCCAGAGAGAAGAAAGGCCGGCGTTCTGCAAAGAGTGTTCGGCGGAAATGAAAAACGCGGACGAAAAATGGTGCGCAACGTGCAAAGGGTGGGCAACGAAAGCAGAGGGTGACGACGCGGCGCGGCAAGGTAGCGGCCGGAACGCAAAAGTCGCGGAAAGGCAAAGCGAAGTGGAACGAGAGCGTGGAACGAACGCGCCCGCGACGCACGAACGACAAGCGCCTGTCGCTGTATGACGGAAAGGCGGAGATGTCAGAAGCTCAGAAGAAGCACAATATTACGGGGGAGAGGCTCTGTCAGATATGCGCGGAACAACGAGAGAGAGAGAGGGAGAGAGAGAGAGAGAGAGAGAGAGAGAAAAAGAGAGAGACAGAGAGAGAGAGAGAGGTGCGACGGGGCAACGCGGAGGCAGCGAATCGCAAACGGAAAGCGGAGGCGGACGCGAAACCGCTGACGTGCGCGACGTGCGGTGGAGCGTTCTCGGACACGAAACATTTGAAGCCTAACCGAGTGGAAGATCATCGAAAGGCGAAAGGAGCCAAAGTGGTGCGCGGGGGCTGCAAGGACCTCGGGTTCACAGCCCGCAGTTGCCAGCCGTATCAGTGCAGCGGCGCGCGCGAGAGAAGGCCACCGAAGCCGGCGCTCCCCGACCCGCACAATGCCCCGCGAGACCCCAAAAAAGGCACCCTGAAGTGCAAGACATGCAAATGATGTCGAATCGGGCGCGCGTGCTGGTGGGGAAAAGGAGGACGGAGACAGGCGCATGGAGATGAGGCGGAGGATAGGGGGGGCGAATCATCGAATCTGACGAGGTGAAGCGGACGAGGAACACGAGGAGGGGGACGAGGAGGAGGGGAACGTGGAGAGGGTGGAGGAGGGCGAGGAGGAGGGGGACATTGAGATGAGGCTCTGAGTTATGGTCTATGGGTGAGAAATTCTTGTACGTGTATAGCGATATATGGTCTATGGGTGATAAGTTCTTGTATGTGTATAGCGATTTCGCGGCGCGCCTTTCGGGGACCTCTGGAAAACAGTTTTGAAGCCACCGGGGGGCCGAGGTGGACAACGACGGTGAGGAGGAGGAGGAGGAGGGGCACACGGAGGAAATGAAGGATGGGGGGGAAATAATCGACGAGGATAAGGACGAGGCGAGGGAGGAAGAGTGTGGAAGAATGGGCGAGGGGCTTCTCGCGGGACTTGTGGAGGCAGTTTCGAAGCCTCTTGGGGGCCGTTTTGGGACCGTTTGGGGCCCTCTTGGGGGCCTTTTGGGGTTTCTTGGGGGCGTCTCGGGGGCTTCCTGGGGCCTCTTGGGGTCTTCTGGGGCCGTCTTGGGGCGGAAGGCTCGGATTGTCGGTTCAAGCTCTCCCTCTTGGGCCCCTCGTGGGGCCGTCTTGGGGCCCTTTTGGGCAGTCTTGGGGGCCTATTGGGCCGTCTTGGCGCCCTCTGGGGCCGACTTGGGCGACTCTTGGGGGCCTCTTGGGCCGTCTTGGAGCGGTCTTGGGGTGCTCTTGGACGGTCGTCAACGCCGTGAAGGCCGACAAGTCGTATATTATCACAATGTACGTTTTCCCATGGGAATAACACAACTTTCAACTCGTAGGCCCTTCTGAGGACTGCTCTTGGAGGCCGCTTGGGCCGTCTTGGAGGTCTCTTGGCTCGTCATGGGACCATTTTGGGCGTCCTGGAGCGCTCGTGTGGCGTCTCGGGGCCCTCGTGGGCCGTCTTGGAGGCGTCTTGGGACCTTCTTGGCTCGTTTTGAACCCTTGCTGGGGCCAAAAAAGCCCGTGAGTCGCTCGTCCGGGGCCCGGGGAGGGGGGGTCAAATCGCCGGTTTGGGGTCCCTGGGGGGAACTTTTGGGGGGGGGAATTATCTCACACGCCTAGAGACCCACGAGGGGTTGGCGGATTCCTGAATGTCGAGGGCTCGGCGTTTGAAGTAAGTTGCAAGGGAGTCCCACACGAGAGCGCGATTCCTGCATAGATTGAGGAGAAGTCCCGCGCGAGAACGCGATGTGGCAATGAATTGTGAGGAAATATCAGGCGGGAGCCGTTGTTGTTGTAAGTCGGGGGCCAGGGGCCCAGTTTGGTGATCCCACACTGTCCCTTTTAAGAAACAGGGTGCGGGCCCCAGGGGGAGCATCTTAGTCGAAAAAATACCTTGTCCTGGAGGGAGGGGATCGACAATAATTATTCCTTAGAAATGAGAGCTCGACGACAACACTAACAACAACAAACAACAACAATAACAACAGCAACAACAACAACAATTTTAAGGCTGTACGCTCTTACTTGCCCGCGAGTCATTCAACACGTATACCCTACACCCTCGATGCCCGCCCTCTTCGTCTTCGATCACACCCCTTTCGGGGGGATTATTTATCTTTGCTGGGGCCGGCGGGCTTAGATGTACGGGCAAACCGGAACGGGCGGACAATCCTTCGGGGGCGTACATCTCTCTGCCCGCCATTGGAATTGGCGCGGGCCCTGCAAGAGGAGGAGGGGAAGAACGAGGGAGAGTGGGAGGAAGGGGAGGGGGAAGGACGAAGGAAGAGGGAAGATACCACGTTGTGAAGGCGTCCTTGGCGCGCGCGTGGTTCCTGAGCGCCGAAACGCAATTCCAGAATAATTTGTGAGGACGTCGCACGCGAGAGCGCAGTCCTGAGTACATTGTGAGGAAATCTGACTAAGTTGCGAGGAAGTCTCAAGCGGGGGCAAATTGCACGGAAGTCTCAGGCGGGAGCGGGGGTCCTCACTAAATTGCGAGGAAGTCTCAGGCGGGAGCGCCGTTCCTGAGTCAATTGCGCGGAAATGTCAGGCAGGAGCGGGGGTCCTGAGTAAAATTCGAAGAAGTCTCAGGCGGGAGCGCCGTTCCCACGTAAATTGCACGGAAGTCTCAGGCGGGAGCGGGGGTCTTGATTACATTGCGAGGAAGTCTCAGACGGGAGCGCCTTTCCTGAGTAAATTGCGCGGAAGTCACAGGCGGGAGCGGGGGTCCTGAGTAAAAATCGAGGAAGTCTCAGGCGGGAGCCGTTGTTGTTGTAGCCCGGGGGGCAGGGGCACAGCTTGAGCAGGAAGACTTTCCTTGAGAAAAAACAAGGTGCGAGCCCCGGGGGTGGCACTTCAATCCAAAAAATCAATGTGCACCGGTGGGGGGGGATCAACAATAATTATTCTTCAAGAATGAGAGTTCAACAACAACAACAACAACAACAACAACAACAACAGCAGCAATCAGTTTCAGACTGTTTGCCCGTCTCTGCTGGCGTGCCATTTAATATGCATATCCCAAACCCTGGATACCCGCCGTCTTCGTCTTCGATCGTCCCCCTTTGGGGGGTATATTCATTCCCTGCCACGTGTGGTTGCTGAAGCCACTGAGCGCAGCGGGGCCACTGAGCGCAGAAAGTGGGCCACGAAGGGCAGCGAGGGGGCCACGAATGGCGACAGCGGGGCGACGAAACGCATGCGTATGGGACCACGAAGGGCGCGAGCGAGCGAGGGCCACGAAGGGTATTAATCCGGGGCCGCTGAGGGCAGCGACGGGGCCGCTGAGGGCAGAAACGGGGCCACGAAGGGCAGAGAGGGGGCCACGAAGGGCGACAGTGGGGCCACGAAGGGCATGAATATGGGGCCACGACGGGCGCGAACGAGCGGGGGCCACGAAGGGCACTCGCATATGGGGCCACAAAGGGCGACAGCGGGGTCACTGAGGGCAACAACGGGGCCACGAAGGGCAGCGAGAGGGCCACGAAGGGCGACAGCGGGGCTACGAAGGGCATGCGTTTGGGCCACGACGGGCGACTGCGAGCGGGGGCCACGAAGCGCATATGATGCGGGGCCACAATGGGCAGCGACGGGGCCACTGAGGGCAGCAACGGGGCCACGAAAGGCAGCGAGCGAAGGCGACCGCGGAACCAGTACGGGCAGCGAGGGGCATCGAAGGCGGGC